ATAATCGTCCAGTTGGCTTAAAAATGATGATCGAAGACATTTCCCATATAATTTTACTTTCAAAATTATGATATATCTTTTATTTCTAAGCCATCTATGACGCCATTTTTTTCAGTTTTGTTATAATTAATTTTGTCTCTTGATCTACTTGTAACATTATTCTTTTAATTTTATTAATTTATTGTGGTGAAATTAATTTCTGTTGTATATTTGATATTGATATTAAACATATTTTTAAAAAATGGTGTATTTTTTGTGTTTTTGTGTATGTCATAATTAAAAATAAATGAAGAAATAAAATTTTTTATTTTTTTAAACTTCCCGCCATGCGTGACAATTTAGTCCGTAGTTCCTACAAGCGAAATTGGGGGCGCTAGTAGCAGTAGACTTGTCAACAGTGTCAAATTTAAACGTCAATTTCACTTTCCAATATTTAGCAAGGCGCTCGCACTTCTTCTTGTGTATGTGTTTTGTGGGCCAGCCGGCCGTGTAGTGTTGTGTTTTGTCACAGAGCTGACATTTGGAAGTAGCGAGTCTTTTGACTATGGAAGTAGAAAACCTCTTGTGACGTCGTTCCTTCGAGGATGGTCTTGAGAGTTTGAGGTCTCTCTTGCTTCTCGATTGACACCGCTGGGGCGTTGTGTGAGGACCCCAATTAGCCCCATCGATTGGGATGCGAATCTGTTTAGCGGCAGATTTGCGTCCGGGGGAAGCCCCTATACTATTTCAGGTGACACTAGCTAGTTGTTGAAGATTATTAACCAATAGATCCGAATAATATTTGAAATAGATGGAAGATATGGAATGGGATATATTGAATAGAATGTCAGTGATGTCAGTGGCTAGGGGGCGGAGTACCCCCGGGTGAGTCTTACTATTTAACTATCAATTTTATCCAGATCAGTAAATGTTTGTTTTGTTATTTTCATGTACAATGAGAGAGTGCTTGCCAATGACCAACTAAATGGATATTTGAGGTGAATTTGCATTGTGAGACCCGGTTGAGTAAGCCCGAAAATTAACGATTTTACACATTTTGACTTATACGAACTTTTTACTTATTTTTAACTGCAGAATTTGCTGCCCAAGTTTCCGGAATACAGTTCGGACCACGCTGTATAAAACAAATAAACAGGTTGTTCTTCTGTAACGCAATGCTATTTTTAAATACAGAATGTTTCTTTTATTGTGGAACCAAACACCGTTTAAGTTCTCTATACATACTGTAGGAGTATCTATTGAAATTATGTTAATGTGATGACTCAAAAATTGCTTGTAGTTTACTGTACTGAAAATATCTCTATTTTTTCTGTTAAAATCATTGAACTAAAAGATTATGAAGCACTAAATATTTAAAATGTTTGAAAAAACCTTTAAATGTGTCTCTAATTTAATGTATAACTTATAAATGTAATAATATGCAGATTACTTTGTGTAAAATATTCATAAAATATAATAAATTTTGTTTAAAATACTCAAATGGTGTTACCGGAAGACCAACAATTTTGAGTATATTTCAAAGCATTGCTCTTCCCATTAACATAGTACAATAACTACCCCAAATTAACTTACAAATAAATATACGTTCTATCTTTGTCTATATGTATATTTCTGGTTTATCAGGAAATAACACCGAATAATAAAATATTCAGCTTTATATTTGCTTATTATTTGTTCTTAATTTTACTTTCCGTTTATTGTCACTACACTTGTAAGGTACATCTATTTAGGCGTGTTATCATTTTACGTAGGTAATAAAACTGGTCCCGTGATGTTTATTCTATAAACACGGAGATGCTGACAAGTGAATAGAGAGATAAAAGCAGATGAAACTGGATGGGTGGGAGTAAACGAGACACAAAACAGAACCGGTTTCGTCTCGGAGAATCTAATTGCCCGATTTAAAATCAAATCAATCGAATTTCTTACTAATCCTCAATTTCAGTTATATTCATAAGTTGATTAAATAGATTTTGAGAGAAATTTTGTAAAAAAGCAAACTGTTTTATATATTAAAGCGTTTTTAACTCTTATCTTTATGCTCTTTGGCGGCATTTTATAATTTTATACATGGAACAGCAACGGACAACCACAAATAATTTCACTATGCTCGTTTTTCCTGCAATATGGCCTTTTTATTTCTCTCAGTGGCATTACATCTTCTCAATTCTGACCCTCTCGAAAAACACTCTTTACGTTGCACATTACTCATGAAAATTGTTTCGTCGCGCTGGATACTGGATCACAGTCTTGTTCATGATGAGAACGGCCCTGTTATGATATGATGAAACACCGATTCCTGATCAATCATCGAAATTGTGACCTTAGACGATGTTATTGTGGCGACATCTGTCGGGGAACGAACGACCTAACGAACCCGTAACATATTGTTCCAAAGCAAGGGTGTCAAATGTATTGTTATTACTTTTATCTCACCCTGTATAACTTTTTGGGTTGGGTTTTAATTTGTTTTAGAATACAATGACTATTTTAATTACATATTAGGCTATACCTGATAAATAGGTAGCTTTTATTGAAATTTAAATTTGTCAGAAATTATACATTTTAGTCATATGCTTCTTTAGATTGATATGTATAAGATGTTCCATTACAAAAAACGCAATTTTGATTTGTCAACTTTTTTAGGGGACACCCTGTATACTGTATGAACTGTATACAGGGTGGGCCACTGAAAACTTACAATGGCTATAATTTTTAAACCAAAAAAGATATCAAAAAAGTAGAAGAAAACCGTTTCTATAATATCGAGGGGAAATATATATTAGTATTTTTTGAACCACACCGACCTACTCCTTAGGCGGCACCCCTATTCACTTGAAAATCTTAAACGGCAACACTCCACTTGTGGCGCCTTTTTGGAAAGCCCATGAAAAACTAAACGATGATTATAAAGTTTTTAGGGTGAAATTGAAAAACTACCCCTTACACGAAAAATTAGGTGGACATTAATGAAAAAAGTGATTTTTTCAGCATAAGTTACAATTTTGGACCCAGCTAAATACGGCAAATGAGGTATTTTTCAAACCACCCCGACCCACCCCTAGGTGCCACCCTCACTTCTAATCTCATCGATGCCATTTTGAAGCTAAAAATAAAAAATGTAGATAATAAAAAAAATTCAAAGCAAATTCTTCCTTATCATCTATTTTTTTACTTTCAACAAACAGGAATCTTAATACAGCATATCTTTTCGTTTTTGCACTGCCTTCTATCGATTTTCAATCGTTTGCAAATTTGGTGGTATTTTAAATCTTTATTTGATTCGCTTATTTGAAAGAATAATGTTTATACACTGTGGAAGAAAGAATTCAAGTAGTTTTTCTTTATGGTGCTGAAGGTATGTGCTATTTGAGAACGGCCCGTGCTTTCAATGAGAGAAATCTGGACAAAAACGTAAGTCACATGTTAGAGATTTGTTGATTGTTGACTTTTTCTAAAGTTTCAAGAAACTGGATCGATCAAAAATAAAAAAAGGACAGGGCCCAGGGTACTGAATGAAGAAATGCAGATGGAAGTTATTGGTCAGGTATCGGTCAATCCAGAAACATCAACACGCCAGTTGGCATCAATCACAGGTATACCTCGAACATCTGTCAGAAGAATATTGAAAGTGCACAAATTCCATCCCTACATAATGAAGATTCTGCAGGAACTTGACGACGACGATCCAGATAGAAGGATTCTTTGAACTAATGACGGAGGAAATTCGAAGGGAACCTTCACTCACTAAAAATATTTGTTTTAGTGATGAGTGCTCATTTTTTTTAAACGGGAATGTGAGTAAGCAGAACTGCAGATATTGGAGCGATGAGAATCCTCATATTGTTGTTGATGGACACACCCAACATCCCCAAAAGCTCAGTGTTTGGTGCGGAATACTAGGCGATAAAATTATCATTTTTCATCGACGGAAATTTGACTAGTGATGCTTATGTGGAAATGCTGAACAATTTGATAGAGCCAGCCATTGTAAATGAGGTTGAAAATGAAAGAGATTTGGAAGGAAGCTCTTAATGAAGATCTCATACACTTTCAGTAAGACGGAGCCCCTCCGCATTATTCTATTGTCCCAAAGCGGTGGTTTGATTAAAACCAAGTACGTTGCAAGATTTGTGGCAGAGGATAACTGAAGCATGTCGAAATATTCCGAGAGAGACTTTCCAAAAAGTGAGAAAAGAATTTGAAAATCGTTTGTATTTTTGTATGGAACAAAATGGCTGTCATTTTGAGCAATTGTTAAAATAAATTATCATTTTAAATTTCTTTCAAATTGTCACATCTACATTTCATATCACTACTTACCAGTAATTAAGTTGAAGTCTGTATGACCATCGTTTAGCAATTTCAATTAGCTTTCCAAAGAAGTGTCACAAGTGGGGTATCGCTATCTGATTAGAAGTGAGGGGGTGGCACCTAGGAGTGGGTCGGGGTGGTTTGAAAAATACCTCATTTGCCTTATTTAGCTGGGTTTCAATTTGTAACTCATGCTGGGAAAATCACTTTTTTCATTAATGTCTACCTAATTTTTTGTGTAAGGGGTAGTTTTTCAATTTCACCCTAAAAACTTTATGATCATCGTTTAGCATTTTTCATGGGCTTTCCAAAAAGGCGCCACAAGTGGGGTGTTGCCGTTTAAGATTTTCAAGTGAGTAGGGGTGCCGCCTAAGGAGTAGGTCGGGGTGGTTCAAAAAATACGTTATATATATTTCCCCTCGATATTATAGAAACGGTTTTCTTCTACTTTTTTGATATCTTTTTTGGTTTAAAAATTATAGCCATTGTAAGTTTTCAGTGGCCCGCGCTGTGTTTAAAAAAATGCTTACTAAATCTCATTTCAGTACAAACTGTCGTTCTCCTTGCAGCCTCAGCGTCGTATGGTAGATCGTGGAATTGGAACCCGACGATGAAATGCCTTGTTTTTTACAGCTTTTCTCCAGAGCATTCAAATTACTCCTTTAAATTGTTCTTTCTCATTTCAGGCGTAAGAAAATGGCGCACTTTTGGTTTTCCACCCGTCGGCCAGTTTGAAAATGGCGGCCATGGCTCGCCGCCGACCTGGCGGCAGCGGAGATTCCGCTGAAGATGACATCGCCGCCATAGCCAAACAAATATCCGACACGGCCGAAGTCATCTACCAAAACTGGAAGTCCAGGAACCTAGCTCCAGCCGATCTGATCACCTGTCATGGAGCGGGAGACACAGCTAAACTCGGGTGAGTTTCAATTTTAGATGTTTCACATTTTGGTGTAAATAATTAAGCGCGAGAATATACCGGGTACGTCTCAAAAGTGGGTCACCCCTATAACTTTTTTATTTTTTCAAATAAAAAAAACAGATTTGGAATGTTAGTATATGACATAATTTAGGATTGATTGGACGTATTCAATTATTCTTTTCGTCCACTTCCTGTTTCTCCGGAAATGACTACAACTTTTGATTTTTAAATAGCACCCTCGGTATTTTGTTACTTTATTCGATAGAAACTGACACTCTGAATATAATAACATATCATATGTCAACTTTTGACTTTTTCGCTTAAAACAAAATTGTATTTTAAAATTCAATCTAGAGTGCCATGGTTGTGTTAAAAACACTAATTTTTAATCAAGGAGCCTTGGAAAAATAGATTTGATCTTCTAATGTTTTTAGTGTTTTCTCCTGGCCCGTTAAAAGATGCCGAAATCGTATTTTTAATCATATTTCATTTTTTTCAAATGGAACGAGTGTGGCTTATTAGCATATTTGGAAAAGCATTTTTTTACGAATAATTTGGTATCACACACTTGGTATTTCCAACCATATTCGAAAAAGTCAAAAGTTGACATATGATATGAATATGTGAATGAATAGAATTCAGAGTGTCATTTTCTATCGAATAAAGTAACAAAATACCGAGGGTGCAATTTAAAAATCAGTAAGTACCCAACCTGTAGTCATTTCCGGTTAAACAGGAAGTGAAAAGTATAATTGAATACGTCAATCAATCCAAATTTATGTCATATACTGACATACCAAATCTCCTGTTCCATCCTAATTTATATCATACTACCAAAATTTATTACCTAAAAAAAAATAAAAAAGTTATAGGGGTGAGCCACTTTTGAGACGCGCCCGCTATTTAGGCGGTTATTGTCTTTAGAGAATTAATGGAGTATTTTCTTCTTTAATTTTTGTTAGATTAGAGCTATATTTAAAGAAAAATGTGCAGAGAAAAAGTTTGCCAAAAAAGTTTCTAAATTAGCTGTAATGATGAGCAAATGCAAGATCAAGGCTCAGTCTTACTACAGACTTGGTCTTGGTCTTACTATATGACTCTTGTAAGTCTTGCATTTTTTTAATAGATTTTTGCTACAGGTACTTTCTATATAGAAAATCTGTAAATATTTTAAATCATTTTTAGTATTTTTATGCAAATAAAACTTTGAAGGAACGAAAATATCCACGGAAATTTCCAACAAAAAAATTTGAGGAAATCATCTCAATTTCTTGAGGAAAGTCGTTCCACTCCTCTTAAAGATTTTCTTCTAACGTTTGAAGATCTGTTGCTTGCGAATGATTTTGTAGTCTTCTCTTTAGTAGGTCCCAAAGGTGGTCACTAGTATTGAAATTAGGTCTATTAGCAGGTCAAGCCATAATTGTGATATTGGAGTCGTGAAGGTATCAACTACTACTTTTCCAGTATGAGGCCCGGCATTATTCTGTTATAAAATGAATTGAAAGCCGATGGAATTACATAATATGGTGCAAAAATCTCATCTCTGCCTCGTTCGACATTAACTGTGCCGTTCTTGAAACTTTAAAACGTTAAAGTTATTCTTTGCTATACCGCCTTCAAAATGAATCGTTTCTCTGACTGTGGCGTCCAGATACCATTCTTTCGGTCCTCTGTATACTCGACGCTGGGCTTCATTATGATTTAGTCGAAAACGAGACTCGTCCGTAAAAAGGACGTGCTTTTACTGACCCGCGCCCCAGTGAGGATGTTCTTAAGAGTCCATTTCACTAGTCCGAAAAAGTAGCAAAATAAGCGTTCGGCTTTTAATGTTTTATGTAAAATTGGCTAGAAAGGAAATTAAAGATAAAAGATTATACTATATCTGTATTGTAGTAAAATTTTAGACAACTTCTTTATTTTTAAGACTTTTATGGTCAAACATCAACAAAATATTCCTTATGTTTGGACTAAATTTTCTCGAAAATAAAGACATAATTTGAAATTCCGTTACAATACGGAAATATATTGTTTTGTAATAAATTGCTCGCTGTTTTATGGCAAATGCTGAAGCTCTGCAAACCTTAATCAAAGCACATGTGTTTGGAATTTTGGGTGGGGCTTAACTCGACAGGATCGGGCTAAGCCCTAGGTAGATTTCTGAGATATAATATATATTTCCTTTGGCCACACACCCGCTTTACCCGACCCCTGAGAGCGACCCGAAAAGTACAGCGTAATAGAGTCTTAAGCAAATATCATTTATGCCCTACGATGATTAGCAGTTAAATGCGGTACAGCATCGAATGCTCGCCTTGATCCAATGTTAACTTAATGTAACCCATTTATTACAGTTTGAGTTGAACTTCGAGGTCTTGTGATGATAATAAGAATAATTTATCGATTTCTTGTGGTACTTACGTGTTCTTTCACGAAGGGCAGCTTGAACAAGATACCGATCTGCCCTCCTTGTTTTCCGTCTTACTCGTTGAGGATATGGTGTGCTTACAATAAAACCATATTCCCTATGTCAATTCCAATTAGTCTGGAAATGACCCATTGTGTAACAAACGTTCCTTGGGTGCAATTCATTATAAATTTTATAAAAATGGAAAACGCCTATTTCTAGCGATAAACTTACAATAAGTCGATCGTCTTGATTCGAAGTTCTCATACGAAGATTCCTGTACGTATAACAAATGAATTGTCTCGAGGAAGCGACCGCACTGTACTTCGTGCATACCTAAAAAATCTGTTAGCGACATAATTTTACAACTAAAGCGGATACAACTTCTGCACTCCAACTATCTCTGCTAGAGTAACTGCCAAACCAAACCAAACAGCCAACAGACAATAATAATATGATTGTGACATTTATATATTTATATAATATGATTACATAAATCATAAACACTATTTCATAGGTCTGTTGACTGGGACCAAAAACAAAGGCATGGTCTTAATGTAAAAATTACGAAAAAATGGTAGTGTCTTCTTCAAAAGGGAATATTTCAAGAAATAAAAGCTATTGAGATGAACCAAAAAATAACCCATCGAGAAAAGATGCACCTAGTCGATAAAATTATTTTCAAATTCGTTGCTTCTTTAACATATTCCCCAGGGTGTTCCAAACATTCACCAATATGACTACATTTTGTATTCCCTCGAATAGTTGATAGATAGGAACTTTCAATTTTAATTTAAAAAGAGATACTAAAAAGTGAAATAATTTAACTACAAATTGCTTTAGAAATCATCAAAATCGTCCTACTCACTTGTTTCGTTGAACTGCTTCAATCCATTTTTGCTTTAATTGGTGAGAGAAACTCAGTTTATATTCATTAATAGAATTTAACAAACATTCGGCAGTATCTTTCCATAAAATACTCAAAAACTGAATAAAAAATGCTGTATAACTTTTTTTAATTAATTATATATTTTATTTTAACCTTCAGATTCCTACGTCAGTAATAATCTCCATCGAAAAAAAAACTTTAAATACAAATCACTTTTTAAGATAGACGAGCACAAGGTTTCTTGAAATAATGTCCCGTATTTTCATCCCGACACGACTCGGTCGACAGAAAAAAAAAACTCCCGTTGATATGCTGGCTCTATTTTCGTAGTTTTCCGGTTGTGCCGAATGTAGTGCAGTCCGACGTGTCGTTGGTCTCCTGTCGTGACTATATTTTTTAAGTTTTTTTTTCAAACGGTCCGCGTTTTCGGTGTCGGTTTCCTTAGTACTAAATCCGGATTGTTTTTAATTATGCGTAAATGACTTATTTAAAAATAACTGCATTTGATTTGGTTCAGTTAGCTAGTGTTAGAAGATGGTGTGTTTTTTCAATTAGTGTTAACTTGTGGACGTGTAATAAAATAATAATCAATAAAAATAAAATGAAATTTGCAACTAGTAAGATTATAAACTATCGAAAAAGTGGGGTTATGTCTATTTTTGACAACAAGGAAACATTTTTGGAGGTTATATTTTTCTCTACCAATTTATGTAATTATTTTATAGCTCGTTTTATAGTTTAAAAATCAAGTGCCTGTTATTTTAGGAAACCAGTATAATTGTTAATGATATTACATTAGATCAAGTTGATGACTACTCAATAAACTAAAAATAAAACAAGTACAAAATTTTGCTAAATTAAAAAAAAACGTTAATTAACTTGGTATTATTTTAAATGAAAATTTGAAAATGAGTTATTTGTTCTAATGGTTTATAACTCATTAGTTCTTTTTTTAATAATCCAAATTTTAATTTCTCTTATTTCAATTAATAATTTAAAACGAGTTGATATAATTTGGTAATTGGTTATGCATGTTAATGTTTATATACATATCAATCGGTTTTAAAACGTTCTTCGACGTCTTCCGATGTCCAGTCGCCAGTGCTCCCTATCTGGCCAGAGGTCGCCTTCGAGCTCTCGTTGTCTATTCCTTCTTTCCAGCTCTTGCGTGGTCTACTCCTTTTTTCGTCGTCCCGCTAGTGTCCAGTTTTTTCTGTTTTAGAAGCCATTCTTTGTACGTGGCCATACCATATTAATTATTTTGTTCTTATGTCATCAGCTATTGTTCGATAGGCCTCCATAATTTCTCGAATTCTGTTGTTCGTACATCTTTTTCTTCTGGATTTACCTGCAGCCCGTCTCCAGAAATCCATTTCTGTCGTTCCTGGGTGCGCACGGCATATCTTTTAGCTGCCATATTTTTTATACATATCTTTTAGCTAATAATAGGCGGTTGAAGCGTAGTGCTAGCCACATTACCTTCCTTGTACCGAACGCCTCTAGCATGACAAGCTGTACCTTGCTACTCCCAAGACGTTAAACGCTTTCTTCCCTGAGCGTTTCTGCCCCTAATGGCTTTATCCAGAATGCCATCATTCCTTGAAATTTTTGCTCCCAAGTATTTATACTTTATGTAGCCATTAATATTTTGATCGTTTTCAAGGGGGATTTTTTTTCAAGATTTTCTTGGAGTCCGCCGACGCA